CCGGTTATAAGAGCGAACTGTCGCGTTGCAAAAGACAAATTGATCAAATAACGACGTACTTAATCATCGACAACATAACGAATGTCTATAAGAAAAATGCTTACTTTGCACTATTGATTCTCTCTGTTTTCGACACAGCCTATTTTTAGTGCTGATATTTTATCTCCGATATCAGAGCTAGATATCGCTCACTGCATGTTTGTGCAATTGCAGACGTTCTCACGGTGCTCTCAAAATTAAAAAAGAATATTGAAGCTGACATAATGCATTAGCCAGAACATTCGCAACTATAATAAATTGAATAAATTCCATAAAAGTCAAGACTAAACCGATTCTTGATTAAGCAACGTACAAGTTATAAGAGAGAAAAGTGTAAAAAATATAAGAAAAAATGAAAAAAACCAGATGGACCGCAAAATTTGGGCGGATCCGACGATGATAAGCGAGAGAGATATCGCAAAATTGCGGAATGGAACGGGCATACGATAAAGCGCATTGTATATCATTGCAGGGATGATTTGTGAGGGAACAAAGTCGATTCGCGTGATGCAGATTGCGTGTTGGAAATCGACGAATACAATAACGCAGCTGATGGGTACACGTACCCGACTTGATCCCTGACCTGATGATAATTAAACAATGTTACGCGCGTTATTGCATGATCGACTATCGATGACGGATAATAGCGGAAATATTTTCTGTCCGAGTGACCTCTGACATGTCGAGATTTTTCCGCGGTTTTAAAAATAAAAATCGATTGAATTGGACATCTCTCCGCTCATCCGAGTTGATTAATGAAATTTTATATATAAACTAGTACACGTAATGCATGGATAATCATACAAGACATAATAACGTAAAGCATATGATTGCATTATCTTTTTCCTTAGGTTTTAGCCTTCTTTTTATGTTAATTTATTTTATCAGTTTATTTTTATGTTAATTTATTTTATCAGTTTATTTTTAGCAACTTATTTCTCTCTCTCTCTCTCTCTCTCTCTCTCTCTTTGTCAATTTATTTTTATTTTATTTTTTATTTTTTATATTTTCCTATATCTTTCTTTCATGCACATCTTAATTATCTGCCTTAATCCCACTCAGTTTTAATCACTTTTTTATCTGGATTACTCTTTAAGCGAGATATAATTTGTCAGCTGAAGTGATTTTTATCAGATTTTATCAAAATTTTTTATAATTTTCTTTTATTTCTAATAGGAATAAGTCGGCTAAATTAGTAAAAAGAATTAGATGAGATCTTTTTGCATCCATGCAGGTACGATGATCCCCAAATCCGGTGGCGATTACGCGTACATCAGCGACGCCTTCGGACCTTTGCCAGCATTCCTTTACCTCTGGGTGGCGTTGTTCATCCTGGTACCAACGGGGAACGCGATCACGGCACTCACGTTCGCACAATACATATTGCAGCCCGTATGGCCCGGATGCGAGCCGCCATATGCAGCGGTGCGACTACTTGCTGCCGTGATCACATGTAAGATGAATACATATGTTTTATTTTATTTATAGTCTATAGTAAAATATATAGAAATATATGATGTGATCTAATAAAAAGTAGCCTTCGGATAACTTTTATAAAAAGCTTTCAGTTAATTTCTGTTAACTGTCTTTTAATGTCTTTATTGTCTTTTAATATAATATTGATTGCATTAAATTTCTGTCAGCTTTCCTTTCTATTCAACTAATTGATATCTCTCTCAGAAAGTGCAGACGATTTCGCATCAATGGCTGTAGACAATTGCGCGATACCTGTGTAAATGTTTGTTGAACTGGCTAAAAGTACCGTGACGCACGTAATGAAATTTAACGATCGCAAGAATAAAGATTCGCGCGAAAACACGATGCAAATGTATGCGACTTTTAAATATAGCTCGGAGAAACGTTATTCATACTCTCATCAGATTGTTTTCACACACGCGGTTGCGGCGTGTGCGAATGCAGCGAATAACAGCATATGTATGGCAATTTCACCGTTGTTCGCGTTCGCAGGTCTGTTGACCGCCATCAACTGCTACAATGTCAAATGGGCAACCAGAGTGCAGGACATCTTCACCGGCACCAAGATCTTTGCTCTGATAATTATCATGGTCGCCGGTTTCTGGTGGCTCTGCATGGGCCATACGGAGAACTTTCAGCATCCGATGGCTGGCACCAACACCCAGCCCGGTTACATCGCTTTGGCAGTTTATTCCGGACTGTTCTCCTACTCGGGGTGGAATTACCTCAACTTTGTAACGGAGGAACTCCAAGAACCCTACAAGTAATTTTCGTGAAATGTGTTGGAATTAATCTCTCCCTGACCACTTTGCCGGGTCTCTATCGCGATTCTTTTAATTTGCAGCAAGAGAACAGGGTAATACCGGTCAGATCATATCGAGCATTTTCTTATTTTCGGTAGAAAATAATACGTTGCGTTATTATTAATTTATATAAAATTAATGATATTTTAATAACATTTTGTTATAATTAAAATTTATTTATTATTTATTTGTAGAACTTTGTCTTATATTTTATTAGAAATAAATATTTTTATTTTATCGAAGCGTGTTGATATCTACGAAGACGATAACGTAAAATTTTTTACAGAGACTTGTGGAAACCTTCCTAATGATCGTTGTTTTTAATCACTTTCGCAGGAATCTTCCAAGGGCGATTTGTATATCATTGCCGCTGGTGACAGTGATTTATGTTTTCGCGAACGTCGCCTACTTCGTCGTACTCACGCAGGATGAAATACTCGCGTCGAATGCCGTCGCTGTTGTAAGTACGCTTTTCTACGTTGTTAATAACGATTGTAGACACGTGAGGTATCGATCCACGATTGGTTCGCTGCCAAGTGATTGCGCTCGCACTCGCAGAATATTTTATCGTCAAAAGAGAATATAATATAGATTCTAATGTATAAAGATAACACAAATCTTGAAAAGTAAATTTTAGAAAAGAAAAAAAATTATAACAACTTCAGTTCACGGAATTTCCTCGTGTTAAGTTGATCATAGGAACATTATATATTGAGCAATAAATAGAGGCAAGTGCGCCGAGCATAGTTTCTTGCACGTGCGTTACTGGTTTTCATCGAAGCAAGAAACGCGATAAAAATCAATAAATTATACGGTATCGCGAGAAGTGAAATCGATCCGATACAATCTATCTGATACAGATAAAAATGATGCAGTCTCGTAGTCCGCTATGATCAAGATGCTGTCCCACTTTCGATAGCCTAGTATTAATCGGAATTTCCTTTCTAGACCTTTGGCGACAAGCTGTTGGGCGTTATGTCGTGGATCATGCCGTTCTTCGTGGCATGTTCGACTTTCGGAGCATTAAACGGCGCGATCTTCGCATCGGCCAGGTTGTTCTTCGTCGGCGCCCGAAACGGACACCTCCCTACTGCCATTGCCCTCATTAATGTCCGCAACTTGACGCCGATGCCATCCCTCATTTTCCTCGTAAGTATCACATTTTCGTGAAATTGCAAAAAGAAAAAGATTAATAAAAAGGAATTTACTTTATAGAATTTATTGTACAGATCTAATTATATAGATCAATTAATTCTATACAATAAAATTATTTAATCTCTACTGTTCAATTTTCTTAGAGCGTCAGTAAAAGATGAAACGATTTTATTTTACTTTTAAGACATTTCACATAATATCTCTTAATCAATAATTTTCTCGCAAACAGAACTTGAGTAAAGTAAATAAATGTCGCGAACACCTGTTTAATTTTACGGCGATTAATTACAAGTCGCTCACCTTGAAGGTCATGACATTTCAATAATGAACGTATTTGTTTTGCATATCATTCTGATCATCACTGATAATTTCTTATGAATTATTTCTTTAGCACGTTATCGTCATGTAGAAGATCGTGCATGTTTGTACTGTATGTTTGTACTGTATACATTTGTCTGGCGATAACGGAAATGGGATGTGACAATGATTCACACGTAGATAAATGATAGACACTTCATTAATTGGCAAGATTGAGTTGCAACGTTATTCGATTTATCGCGAGATTTGTTTGTCCGAGTTCGAATTGATACATTTGTACATTTATACAATGATATCAAATCCGAGTATTTCAACCATATTACAAAAAATTATGCTTATACAATTTTCGGCTGCATTATCCATCTCTTCGGAAGTTTTTAGGACTCTTTAATAAGAATATTAAAAGAAAAGATCATACGTTTTGTAGCTAACTTAGACATTTTGCCTAAAAAAAATTCCTCTACATTTTGCGCGCCTTACTAAACTCGACGTCAAAGTAATCTGCGCTTCGCGTGCAATAATTCAGCCCATCCAATTGTCGGGAATAGAATTAATTGACGTATATAAATTGGGCCCCGCAAAATTACATTAAAGCTGGTGTCTTAATGAAATAAACGAATCCAGCCGGATCAGAGCGGCATGCGACTATGCAGCTTGACATCTGGATTTGCGGTTCGTTAATTAAGCGCGGTAAATTGATCCTTTCACGTCGCTCTCTGGCCCCGCGTCTCTTTGACGATCGGTAGCGGAAGTCTGCTCGCGATCTCCATTCGTTTCTGTGAACGAATCAAAAGGATCGACCGCGTTAACTCTGTTCAAAGTCATGTCATGCCGTCACGAGTTACGCAAACTATTCAATTTCTAGTAAAGATATATTATATGAAATTTAATTAATTAAGAGATTATAATTAATTCTGAGATGTTGCTCATCTTTTTAATATTTTAGCAACAGCTTTTGAGATACAAGAGATTCAGATAATCTATAAGATCTCCACGTAGATTCCACTTTTCAAAATCTACTTCATTACTAATCTACTTAATTAAAAAAAAGATTCGATTTTCTTTTTTCTTTTAAATAAAATATTAATTTTAGATTTTGTCGCAAAATTATTTAGAATCATGTGTTAAAGCGTTTTAATTGTCGCGATTCGCGATGAGTTCTAAAAGCGCCGATACGCACGCGGAGCAATTTTTCTATTCTTGTAGTCGGACTCCAATTCCGAGCGTTAAACTATAATTTCCGTTTCTAGTGCATTATCACCCTGGTACTCCTCATCATAGAGGATGTCTACGTACTAATAAATTATGTCAGCTTCGTTGAGGCTCTATTTACCACACTCTCCGTGTCTGGTCTGTTGTGGTTACGCTACAAAAAGCCCGATCTCCATCGTCCGATAAAGGTATGCGCGATTTTGCCATTTTAATTTATCGAAATTATCTAAGCGTCTTCTACCTTTTTATTTAATTGCAAGTGAAATCTCATATTTCGCATATTTTATCCTTCAGGTTTCTATAATTTTGCCAATCATCTTCTTCATAATCTGCGCATTCTTGGTCACCCTCCCGTGCTACGTCTCGCCGTGGGAAGTAGGCGTAGGCATAATCATAATCCTGTCTGGCATTCCCGTGTACTGTATCTTCATCGATTGGAAATCGAAACCCGCCTGGCTCATCAATGGATCCCGTAAGTTATACACGAGCTTTGGAAGCTTCTTAAAACCTGCTGCACATAGTCAGTCGCGTTTATGAAACGTACTGTTATTATATATATTATGTACTATTTATATACTATATGTTTATATGTCATTACATTTTTCTGTGCAGATAATTTGAATATGGCGTGTGCGAAACTATTCATGTGCGTGCAAGAAGACAAGACGGAGTGAGTGCGCGAAACTCGCGGTCATTATTACGAAAAAATCCATAATGTGACATCCGAATTTAAGAGTGCATTTCGCACGCATCGTACTTTTTCTTAGGTAGGTGGAAAGTTGTGAATAGATAAAACGCCGACCATTATCATCTATTGGACGGCCGCATGATTGCACAAGTATTAATGATAATGCGTGAGCGAGTGATGCAGCGAGTACTATCGTCGTTCATAATTTTTATATTCTATTCTATATATATATATATATATATATATATATATATATATATATATATATATATATATATATATATATATATTTGCGGAAATAATTTTTATACATATATATTCGTGATTATTTATTGTTTAACAAGTGCCTGTACGCGCCATTGCTGTAGTTTATTAGCGTGTAAATTATATTCAAGTGCCAATTTTTGACACTGCCCGGCGTATTCGAAATGTATGTTTCAAAGATACATTTAGGATAAATATTTTTTGATTACGTAATCCGTATACACACATATATGCCACATTTTCATGTTGGATTACACAGGCATAATATAAAATAATAGAGCAATATTTATGAAGGCATAATCTAGCAATTAAATAACGATTGTTAAATAACGAATCGATATAATTTCGAGACCAATTTTTTAAGACTTTTATGTCAATTATAGCGTTTTATTTATTCGCATTTATGGGGACTGTTATCTAATCATTTAAATATGAATTCAGTGACTATACTGATTTCGATTCCCGAATTGTATATATAATGGAATAATGTAAAGTTTGTATACATTGCACGTAAATATAGTCCCGATTAAAAGTTTACAAGGGATACATAAAGAACTCTGCTTTGATTATTAATTGTACGTACAACGTTATGTGATTTTGATAATAATCATTGATGAATTAGTTAGTTTAAAAATTTCCTTTCCCAACGAAAAAAAAAGAGATCCTAAGGAAGTAGATCTTTTCTTACTTTCAATTACCTAAGGAATGTATGTAGATCTTCTATTTTAAATGAATTAATCATTTGTACGATATTGATTAATCATTCACACGTTTACAGTTCATTGATCCCGAAAATTAAATATCATGAATGAAAAAGCATTTAAAAAGCGTTTATAAAGTGTTTAAAAAAAGAAGAACGGAATGTTTATATAACTGTATGGAGAACCTTATTATCTCTCGAAATGTGCGTATGACGTTCACGCTTTCGAGTATGGACTGTGAATGCGTCAAGTATCATTAAACGATATTTGTATTTTAATCAGATAACTGCTCAAGTAGGGGGTCATTGTAGAATTGCATTCGAGAATGATTGATTATGTGCCTTACACACGAGCAAGCAGATTTACATATTTTGTGAAACAGAATAGGGTATTTTGTACAAAACGCGCAATAATTAAGTTGTACTAATGGCAAATTGTGAATAATAACAGATACGTATGTACACCTTAAAGGAACTTATAGAGACAAATAACAAATCTTTGAATAGCAACTTTATTCCAACAGATTTGATAAAACGGCATTGTAAATCGCTTTTAAGTATAACTTGCAATTAGTTTATAAGCTGTTAACGGAGATAGGAAAGAGCACTCTTTCGTGCTGTACATTTTCATTCCTAAATACCTAAACGTAGAATGTGATGTGTGGTGGAAAAAAGACACAGTATATACCTATATGCCTGCCGCATTATTGAACTAACTTTACTACGGCAAATAGGCCAAAAGTACTGTTAATATGCGCCGAAATAAGACTAATAACGGTTTCTCACGTATTTGTAAATATTTTATTTATATTTAATCTTTATCTCTCATCTTTACTTTTGAAAATCTTGTACAGATATTACTTCTCGGCGCCATATTAAAGTCAACCATTTGAATAATTATTTGGGTCTCTTATTAATCTAGATACGCTTCGTGATACGTTCGTTCATGATGAGCTGTAGGGTCTACAGTCGCGCGAACCTTCGCGATAAAATGTTAATCTGAAGTTTTGCAAAGTTTTGCAAATAGACGTTAATATTTCAAACTTGTATTTATTTGGCACATACAAGTATATGTCCAACATAACGACTGTACAAACACTTCTACGAATAATCGATTGAGAAACATATAGAAAATCGTTTATACATGATAGTAGATTTTTTAGTCTTGCAAAAAATAAACTATCGTAGAAGCTCATAATCATGACTTCCGTTTCCGCGGAAGAATTTGGACGCAAATATCTTTTCTTTCAAGATATTGATATAAACTAAAATTTTACAAAGCGAAAAAACAAGCCATACTATTTAGTCATATTTTCGTTGTTCGTATTTACATATGCCATCAGTTCTTAAATTATTTAACAGCAACAGTTCAGTACACATTATTGAGCAATTTGTTTTCTTCATTCATTTAGTGAAGTTAATGAAATAGATTACTTTGTTATGAGCTTCCGATATTCAACGGGTAAATCTTGCAAACTTTTACCGAAAAACGCGAATAAGGATAACATTGCAACGATTCCATATTTATCTTAATAACTAATTTGGCATAATTATATAGAACTTGTGTAAGAACTTATAAGAAAACTTCGAGATCTTTAAGAAATCTCCTTTTGACGTGCAGGAGGTTTTTAAAAACGTCTTTGGCATAAATATGATCAAAATTAATATTTTTGTAGCCGGTACTCGTTTCTCTTCGCACTGCAAAGAGGACAGGTTATTAAATGAAAAATGGGAAGTTTGTATAAAGATCTTGAAATTCTCTTTTTTATAGATTCCTACGTATTTTTATTACAAAAATTAAAAAATGACTAAAAAAAACTTCCCGCGCGCTTTTTATTTACCTGATAAGCTCGATGCTCTTCTTGGCTACATCTGCTTGTGCATTCTTCTTGCGGCAATTGGGCAACAAAATTACACTTTGGTTTTCCTAACGCAACAAAGAAATCATTGCCGGCGCGAAAAAATCGGAAAAAAATCACGTCGTTTCGAACGTCTCTTCTCAAGCAAATCTCTTCCGGCTTTCTACGATGAAATATTCTGCGGTCAGCCTTCAGCAAGCGGCGGCGTCACCCAGCCGTATTTTTCATGCGTCCTCACCAAGTTTTTGAATGTCTCTTCGGCCAATTGCCGATTGTATTCCTTGTTCGGCTTTGGTACCCTCGCCACTTGTGCCTGCCAAAATCAAAACTCACATAAATCTGAGAAATTGGTAAATATAAATACGGTTAGTAACTAATTTTTTCCTAATTTAATCTTTATTTTCTTTAATCACAAACAATAAGATAAAACTGAATTTTTTAAAATTAATTGAAAGATTATTCTATACTGGACTAACATTCTCCGTGTCTAATATTGTGCGATTGAAGGAATTAGTTATTTGGTGCAGATCAAAACACGCAATGCTTACCTGGCCCTTTACAACACTGGCCGCAAACTGCATAATCATCGACTCGACGCTATACGCGCAGCACCATCCTCTCGGTGTGAGAAGCTCCATGCAAATAGCACCGCCATGCATCACGAAGCCCTGATCGATCCTCGGCGAGATTACTCTCATAAAGGGCGGCGCAAACGGGAACTCCTTTGGAAAAATCACGTGCAACAATATGTGAGGTATCTTCAGTTCGCGCATATCGGCCGCCAGCTTGCTGTCCGGATCGATCTTGTGCAATCGAACAAACCACTCGAAAACATTGTCATTTACGAGTTCCACGGTGAAGGAAGAGTCGCCACGCTGTGCTCTTTGGATCCTGTTAAACTCCTTCATTAGCCGACGCAAACCGATGTCCTTGTCGCAGGCGGCTTTGCACTCGTTGTTGTCCTGCACGAGTAAAGCTGGTTTAAAATTCTCAGGATATCCCAAGTATAACTACAAAACTATAGATAAAGAAGCTATTTTATCGTGCTTGTTCATTAAAGAAAAACAATGATTAGATCTTGTAATTTTTTTTTTTTAACTGAACCAATCGAGAACTCCATGCACCTTTGCGGATTTCTTTGCCTTGAAGAAACAACTACGATCGGCATGAGTGGAATCCGGATTTTCCAGTATCGGTCCGTCCACTGGAATGACGGCATCTGGTCGGTGATGGCGATTTAGAAGTCTCCTCGATGGCGAATTAGTCGAGCTGCTGGCTACCTCCGGTTCGGCTATCTTATCGGAAGATCGGAAGAGCTTCCGGATGGCGGCCACCACTTTCTCCTTGGATTTCGTGGACATGGTGAAAGTACCGTGTCGCTACTTTACTGGGTCTCGCGACTCTGCGTTCAAAACATTTTTATTTGTGAGACATTTTTCCAAGACCATATCACGCAAAGATTATAATGATTTAGTTTATTAATATTCTCGGTTAAGAAAAAGAATTAATGGAATATTGCAAAGGAAAGAAAAACGCATTTGTAGGACAAATTTTTAATAAAGTGTGAATTATTTGGGTTATAATGGGAGAAATCAACGTAAATGAAAAAATATTTACTTTTATGGGGAAAAATGAAATTTATTAATGTATGTACAATACATGTATCATACGTATCATAAAGTAATTCCCTCAATTCATTAATTATATCAACTCTAGGCCTTATTGCGATTAATTTTCCTGTCAAATCAAATGCGTACAAACTGCTGTAAAGATCGTCAATCGAATCATACATAACAACACATTTTCAGAAAGTGATATTTTCGTCTAATTTCTTATATCTTAAAGATACCTTACAAACTTTCGATAACATTTTATCCCACTGGATTTTAATTTTTCGAAGTAGACAAGTATTTTTGTGAAAACATTTATAAGATATCTTCGATTTTTCGTAGAACTTTACATTGTGTCCTAGCTGATCTCTCAGCAATTGATTGGGAAATTCCTATCCGTCGTGTCAACTCCTGTCAGTCAGTCACCCTTAAGTTATCGAATTATTTATTTTCATAAGAAAATCCATCGACGATGTCAGAATGTTTTAAAGTCGCACGAGGGTGTGGAGTGTCGGAGCAGCCTCTCTTACGGAATGTTTAGCTGCTCGGAACGAGCCGAATACTGCCGATTCACTGACTTGTAATCTAACATCTGACTCACCCATTCTATCATCGGTCCTGCAGTGCTTACGGCTGACAGATTGTCAGCGTGCGGCTATTGTGTACTACTTACGTAGGTACACGCGAGAACGGTGAAGATGCGAACGCCGAACATGGCGCAGTCTCCACCCTCGTCGAACCACCAATCGACATCAGCCACGAGAACGAGCGAAGGGATAGACGCCGACGTCAACGACGATACCGGCGCTACCGTCGTGAACGGCATATAGTCGGCTACCTTTTATCGATCCAATTTGTATGACCGATAGCGTGGCTGATAGCTGCGATAGCGCGCAACCGGCAAACGCTGCTTTCTTTCATCGATAAAGGCCGACTTCTGATAAATTTTATCAGAAGTTAAGAATGTTTATAAATATTTTCTGATTGTTTACAATACAGTCGTTTACGTTAAAACTTCGACATCCAATTGTTTTCAATAAAGGGATTACTGTACTCCAAATTTTTACCAAAAGAATATCTGCAAATGCGTCGAAGAATATTATATTATTACAATTGACTATAATAGGAACGGAACAATCCACGTAGCGCGAAAAATAAAAAGAAAATTTATGATCGCTTGTGCGCGCAAGATGTAGGTTTTATTTACCGGATAAGATTTATTCTCCGTTTATTTTTATGTATTCGCCCACGGTCTTACAATATACGTGTTCAGGTATCTATTGGTGAATAGAAACACCAGGATATGCTTAGCGACATATGCGAACACGAGTAGACACGACAGATATTGCATCCACGCCCATTTCAATTCCTCCCACACGCTCGGCTGATAGTAAATAAAATTCTCCGCGTAGAACAACTCGCCAATGACGACCACCGCTTCGTCGCTAGAGAAGCCGGTTCTCCACGTTACCCGTTCGTTCGTGATTCTGGCAGAAACTATAAGAAAAAAAAATACGCCGTCAATAATCTCTGCACGTATGACAATCGGCTATGATCAACGTGACGCTACAAATGGTTTAGAGCGTTCTTCTTCTCCTTCTTTCTTCATTGAAAGAAAAGAGAAGAGGGATGCTTCGCAGCATTCGTAGCGTCACGTTGACCGTAGCCTCGTTTACCGGAAAATATGGGTACACATACACTTCCGGTTATAATTGTGCAACAGCAATTCGGGTAGAGAATAATCAGCCAGCTCTATGCTGTGGTTGTATGTTTCGTAGAGGCCCTCGCTGCGCAAAAGTCCCTTCTGTCGTAGCTCCAGATCGCCGAAAAATCGTATCTCTTGAGCCTCCTGGGTTAACATCCGATCAAACACGCCGATAGATTCTATCGTCGCTTGGATGAGATGCTATAAAAAAAAATCTGTTAAACAGGAGGCAAGCTTATGTATGTAATGACGCGAATGTACCTTTAATTGGAAATTGAAGAATAGCAAGAGTCGTAGAGATTTCACTGGCTTATCCGTATAAAACTGAGCTTCAAATCTTAGCGAATCTTTTTGCCCATCTTTGTTTAAATCGGTCTCCCGTACCTGAATAAAAAAGTATAAGTGTAGAAATAACAATTAAATAATAGTTAATAATTAATAAATAATTTAAGTAACCAATGATGCTTTAATAAGTAAAAATTGTATAATATTGCATACAATCTTTGCATTAGAAACGGAATCAATGGCTTGTATTTAGCATTAAATATAAGAGACATAACTAAAGGCCGAATAAAATACGTGACGTAAATGGTTCGCAAAAAGTCAAATTCTATATTTTTAGCACCGTTAATAAACAACCTTTATTCTAATAAACAACCTTGATTATTGGGCAGTGATCTTCGATATCGTTTTCCTTGTACGTCCTAAAAGTGGAACATACAATGGGCTCCTTAACAGAGTCGACTTCCGCGAGTAACAGGTATTTGTATATAAAATGCACATCAGGCATTTCCGCGTGCATTCGATTTTTTATCCAAATACCTGAAATTTAAAATATTAAGTATAAATTATCGTAAATTACTGCGCGTATCTGAAGTCCGTGATACGAAAGGCGAGTCGATTCTTACCTCCCGCATTGTAAATTATAAAAAGCGGCGTGATCAAGGATAACACGATGAACAGAAAGACAACAATCGAGGCGCAAGAATGTATTCTACTTTTGTACTTGTAAGTGACGGAATTTGAGAATATCTCGATCGCTGCCATTGTGATGCCACGTTCGTCGCCGCAGCAACGTCCACAGGTGCGAAAGCGTATAGACGCAGGTGGACGCAGCTGTCGTTGCACGTGGGGATACGTTCTCATCTATGTGTTTTTCCTTCCAGAGAAGGATATGGCTTGGGGGGAAAAAAAAGCATTTTGTTGTAAAAGTAGCTCTTTGCTTTTGAATTGGTTGCATTTTAAAGTATTGATCGTTGTTACTTTGAAAATGATATGAGTGTCCCAGTTACGTTCTTGTAATGAAACTAGAATCTTAAATGCAGATCTGACGATTTACGAAATTTACAAAGTTAGAGAATTATGAAAGTATTTGGGATTATATATTGTATATTAGAAAGACAGTAATAAGTAAATAAATCTTAATGAATATTAGTAATTTAATAACTTAAATAAAATAATAAATAAATAAATTTATTAATTAGTAAATAATAAACAAGTTAATAAATATTTTTCCTTCAGAAGAAAATGAATTTACAATAATTTTCGGCGCAAAAGTATTCACGTATATCGTTTCTGAAAGTTCGAGTCGCACCTTGGAAACATCATGCTCGAGATTCGCGTTTGCACACTGACGTCTGACGGTGATTCGCCACCTGACCGCTGTATTCGATTCCAAATCGCGATCTTTCGCATCCCCCGTTGGCTCTGTAGACTTATCCTCCAGAGATTCTTCAATGTACGACAACGATTTGCCATCCACCCCGAGATCTCCGACGACACCCTTCGCGGGTTTTGCAAGATCGAGGGAACCTCTTCGTACTCGAAACGGCGACACTATGTACTTCCGGTTTCGTCCAGGGACAAATTTATCTCGTTCTTTCCTGGAGGACGCGTCTCGCGCTGCCTCGTCTCTCTCCGCGCGCGGCTCTCTTTCGCTTCCAAAGAGAGGATTAAAAGATCCACGATGAGCAGAGTCGTCCCGAGTTGGAACATCGTCCTGAACAGTTGTAGAGGACGTTGTCCAGGAGGTAACATCGGTTCTCGTACTGGACGTCACTTCGGAGATATCCTCCGCAAACAACCGTCTATTTCTGGAAAAATTCGAAGGGTCCTCGAACGGACGTTCAGATTCCCTCAAGTCTGGACGCAGATCGGTGAATTTACTCGGAATCCCGTCTCGCCAGCCTGAAGACTTCGCTCGACAATCCAGCCTAAATAAACAATTTTAAAACTCAAATAAGTCAATTATTTAATATTTATTTTTAATCACCAAAATTAAATGTTAATTAGAACTCATGTAGACAGATTTAGATATTTATATTTTCTTTCTTTCTTTCTTTCTTTTGTTAAACTCTTGTAAGTATCGGTAAATAATGTTATATTGTACTGTTTTGGAGTTCTAAACCCTTTTAAAGCCGAAAGACACAAAATAAATATCTACCTATCTAATCAGGACTCATATTTGCATAATTTAATAATCCAAACCATTTCCAATCTCATTTTAATAAATTGGATCACACAAATCAACTTATCTCGCGGATGGACTTGCCTTCTGTCGATCGAGTCTCGACGCTTGTTCTTGTTCGCGAAGCGTAAGGTCTTGTTCGTCGCGGATCTTCTGTCCGTCCCGAGTCTCGTCGACGCTCCTCGCGTAGCGTTATCCGCGAGATCGGCCGAGATCGCGAAGAGGGCGAGTGGCATGCGTCTCACGACGAGCTTCTCGACGACATAGTCGCATTCATCGGGATCGTACTCGACGGTCCCGTCCGCGCGTGGTTCGCTACCGCGTCCGAGGCAGCAGAACAGCGCCTTCAACCTCGCCACTCTTCCGTCCGTTCTGCCACCGCGAGCCCTCCGGTTCTCTTCCTGCTTCTCCTCGTCGTCGCCGACGGTGGAGTCCGCGGAGTCGTCGGACATTTTCAAATCCTTTGAAACACGTGCGGCAGGCAGGCAGGCGCGCGCCCGCGCGCGCGCGCTTTCGCGACGGCCGGCCATCGTGACATTTCGGCTAGTCTCACGGTCTCCGTAGCTGCACTGTTCTACACTTTCTGCACTTAAAGTGAAATGGCGCACAATGGCGCACAATTAGACGTGGAAGAGAAAAAGAGAAAAGGTGAAAAGTGCGTACAGTTCAGCTGCCGAGTTACAAAGAATTAGGGCCCTTTCTGGGTTCCCTCGATCCGCTTCGATCTTCGTGATCTCCGGCAGCGAGGTTGCGGCATGCGGTGTGCCATCGGCGTTCGTTTTCAGCGATCGTTTACGTGTTGAGAATCTCGATCGAACGCGCGCCCCGTCCGTACAATCTCAACGAACGAGCGAGGGACCTCTTCGAGCCGAGGTGAGCCGCGTGGTCGGTGATATTTTTTTCCAACCCGATGCCGACACCCCGTCCTCTCGACGAGAGGATAGCAATGGCTGCAGTACGACGCCCGAAACCTACGCGTGTTGTTTGACGCTCGTCGCGAGGCGAAGCTAAGCCGTCGATCTAAACCGGTGGCCGTCGAGAATCAGACTCGCGTTTTCCTTTATTTCGAACGAGATTACGCGTGAGAACGGTTCTTGGGTCACACGGCTTATCTCGTTCCGCGATTTTTCTCGTTCCCGTCGTGATAAATCTCAACATCACGAGTACTCGCGACTCGTCGCGTCGCGAGTAAAAGGAGTCACGGTGCGGTCTCGCTTCGCGTGTACTCGGCGCGAGACACGGTAGTGTCTCTTGATATCGGAGCAAGGAGATAATAGAAAGATGAAACTCGTTGATCTTGTCGATCTTTAACGCGGACCCCGGAGACGAGCGAGCGGGGCGTCATAGGGGCGTCAAAGATTCAAACACGCGAGTTTTTGATTTGTCTCAAGTATGACACTTTCCAATGTGGAGTAAAAAAGATAAACTCTGAACTAGTGCAGCCAGTTCAGTAACAGAAAACAGACCCATTGTAAAGCTGGTCCTGCAAACAATGAAATTATCTCCTAACGAACTCTTCGATTCTTGTTGACGTAGAACGAATGTAAATATATTACTGTTGTTACAGGAGACCTGAAGCAAGCAATGGAATCTGAATCCAGGCGCAAGGGCCCTAGAAGCCCCAGCGCCGATTCGGACGATTCCTCGCACGCCAGGAGAAGAAGAAAGTATGATCGATCCCCGTCACCGAGACGGAACCGATATCGCAGGTCTCGCTCCAGAGACAGAAGATCTCGTTCGAGTTCCAGAGATAGAAGACGGAAGGACCCCGGCAGATCGCAGGATTGGAAGCAACAAGCTCCTCCTCCGCCTCAAGCTCCAAGTTCTGTACCCAATCCGAACAATTCTACCGGTTATGTTCCAGCGGTACATAATCAATATCAGGTATAAACAGCTTTGTAAACTTGGTAGTAGTTTTATGAATAAGATAGAAAATTGCGTTCTGTTAATTATATCGATTGACTCTATTGTATATTTTGCATATCGTTTTGTGTTTCATCTACGTAGGCACCTCCACCGAACACGAGTCAGCCACCACCGCCTATTTCTGCGTACAATCCGGGATACAACAATTACGGTTACAACTACGGTCCAGGTCCAGGTTACGACTACAGTTATCAACAACCTGCCGGCTATCGAAGTGTAAGTTGCACTTAGAAAACAGGGATCTATATATTCTTAGCTTTACTTACTGTTAAAAAGAAAGATTAATTGATTCTGGTGTCAAAACAATGTGAATGTTGGAAAACGATACACATTCTAATACTGGAGCACGTACTCGTGGTCCCTTAAAAAACTATTGCGCACTTTTGCAAAGCATTTCAGAAATAGTTGTACTGCTACGTTACCGATTATGATTTATATTCGGTGGCGTATATTCGTTTCCGCTCTCTTGGAGCGTTACAATTATACTTCTCTGTATCGCAATATATTGTGAATCTCTCAGTAAGTATAAATATATTCGCGTTATGTATTTTACTGGCACTGATATTGGAAACCCATAATATTGACTACATCGTTACATCGTCAAGACTTCCATGTATTAGCCAAAGTCCTCATTTGAGTATCGTCCGATAAAGGTAAGGGTCGATAAGAGTGCCATTGAATGACTTGAGATCGATTGGATGTATTGATTCTGTTAGGATTACCCACCACCCAACTGGCAAGGAAGTCAAGTGTCATATAACAACCAGCAAGCACCGCCGCCTCCTTCTTTGACACCGCAACAAGAATCGTCGAGGCCGATTGACAGCGGTTCTTCTGGCTTAGTAACATCCTTAACCAGGCCTGAGGATGTCAAAAAAGAAGGCAAGCTATTTTCTTTTTATTTACAATAGATTTAAATTGACGTTGTTTATTTAAACAATTTAATAATTTTTGCATATTTAATAAGAGTCAAATATCTTACACGATTTTTATCAAACTCTTCAACTTTACAGCAATTGCAGCTGAGGTGAAACAGCAGAAAGCGACATTGGCCAAACAACGGGAGGAATATGTTAAGAAATCCGCTACGTTGCAACGCGAACTGGAAATTCTGCGTCAGCAATGTGACGAGATAGGCAAGGAGGGTGGCCGCGAAAATAACCGAATTTTAAAGGAAAATCAGAAATTGCAGGTAATTAACACAATGTGCTTTTATCGGTAAGTTCCTTCGTGATTAATATTTATCTAAATTCAATGCGTTTGCAGATTGAAATACAAAATAAAATGAAGTCTATTCACAATGTCATCGATATGCTCACCGGTATTATTGGTGACAAAGTTACCGTGGACGATCTGAAGAGCAAGTTTAAGCTAGAATTGAGTAAGCGTTCGAGAAGTCCAAAGGAAGATTTTCCGAAAGGGAAGTCTCCTTCGCCCGACAGATCGTCGGCGTCCGATTCAGAGAAGGAATCCAAACCGGAAAGAGATACTAGGGAGAGAAGATCATCGGAGGACAAGCCAATGTACAATTTCGTTCACTACGACCCTGAAATGCATTGGTGTAAAGTCTGCGATATCTTTCCTAAAACAGCAAAGGAATATTTAAATCATCTACATAGCAATGAACACAAAGAGGCTTGTTTAGTAAGTAATATTTTCGAACAGTACAATCGTGCGCGCGCGCGCGCGCGTCATAAGACAGATGGAGATGCTGAAGTAATCGAAATGTTAGAGAAAATAGATAATCTAGAGATTCTTGTGCAAATAATACAAATTGTTAGTTGCTATAGAGAACAGGTAGACGAAAAAATATACACATATATATTGTTTTGTATGATAAAAAAAATTGATTTATAATTAAGCTATATATGTATTTGTAGTTCAAACTATATTTGTAACTGGATGATATATTACACAGTAACAATCACGACAAGCAGGTACTTTGGTACATAATGTCATTTTTGATGTACCATATATCAATACTTATTAAAGAAAAAAAAAAGAGTACCGAGTTTCTTGCGCCTGATATAAAATTCATTTTTACTTAATATTCTGTTTTATATGATAGGAACGCAAGATTGTTGATATGCCATGGCATGAGCGAAATGGCGAAGGGACAGAAAAAGAAGTACCCTATTATCACGGACTACCGACGAAAAGAACACCTATTAAAGGTAAGGTCAATTACAGTGGGCAATTACTAATAGAATATAATTCCGTAGCTTGTGCACAGATAACTGTGGTGTTCGGTATGTATTGAAGAGATCAACAATCACGAGTTGCTTGAAAATTTGTCTATCCCAAATAAGTCGGAACGTTCGAACGCGTTGATACTGTCAAACGATATCGTTTAAAATGTTATAAAGTCAATAATTCTAATTTGTATCATATAATACATCGAAATATAATGAATATGACGAATATCGCGTAAGTCAAGACGATCTTGACAGTTACAAATTTTCTAGCAATGTCGCAAACACCACAGCGATGCATTGGATTTTATCTGGATTCAAGAAGCGCACTTTCCGAGCCGACTTTCTGGCAATATCACTTTATCGTGATCACGTGTCTAATTTTATTTCCTACAACGCTTTTACACAATTTAGGGTGATTAGCTATCTTCTGGACTAGATCTATTAAGATCTTATCACCGTGGAGTGCATTACTTGGAAAGTAATGATATAAGATAATATATATAAACCATTTTTGTGTTGTTGCTTATAAATGAAATATATATACACATATGTGTAAGTTTTGGTGAAGTTACGCGAAGAAAGTTACGACTATGATTTATATTGAAAATGTGTATTATCTTTTCAATATTATTAATTTATTTAAAAAAACACATTTGTATTAACTGTTTGTAAAATATACTGCAAGTGCCAGTTCATATAAACTTGATATATAATTGTCACGTTAAAAGTCATATATTCAATGAAAAAGCCTTTAAATCTTGGGATTAAATTAAAAATAAGCAGTTGCAATATATTCATAAAAAAATATAATGTATTTTTAATTTATCTATATATATACATATATTTATATATGCATTATTATTTGTATCGTGTATTGATAACATATCTAAGAAATAAAACTGATTTTTTCTTTCCTTTCTTCCCTTTCTGTTTTTCTACAGATCATCGTGGGAATACACAAGGGAATTTAATATAATCGGCCATTTATATCGAACATCTTTTAATATATTATTTTTGTTTTCAGTGACATGAATGTGTCGTGGCAGAATATAAGGTCATTCTTTATGAACTTATAATGCTTATCCGCTTCGAAGCTTAAATAATGCTAACTGCAGGATTGTTTGATTATAGGGCTACAGTTCTTCAGCGCAGCAACCGCCTGGTATTGTAAACTTTGCGACTCCTGGATAGGGGATCTTCATTGTGCTAGTCTGCATCTGAAGTCTAAACGTCATTCCGAGAATTTTTCCGTAAGTGATTTTTGTCATAGATAATACTTAATAACAATGATTGGATTAGAGCAAAAGATTTATCTTACTTGTAAAATAAAATTGAAAACAGTATTACAATTAGAAGTTATTTTTGAAGTAATTTTTACTAATAATAAAAGTTATTTAAAGTTATTAAAAAATAGTTATTTAAAGCAATTATTTAAAATAAATCTAGTAAAAAAAGGTGATTTTTTACAATTCCTTTTTTTTTACATAAATACCATATGTTTGATGCAAATAATTAAACTGAATAATGTATTGTTACAGCGCTTCGTGGAGCAAAATCCGCATTGGGAAACTGACTGGATGGCCGATAGAGAGAAGGCTTTTTCCGAGGATAAACACAAGCAGATACAGTTGGAATTGCAAAAACAGAAGGATGATGATCCTCCGATAAAATCGAAGAAATCGAAGAAGAATAAGAAAAAATCGAAGAAATCCAAGAAACGCAGAAATAGAAGCAGCGCTAGCGATTCGTCGAGTGAATCAGACAATTCCGATACAGAATCCGATCAGGATACCACCAAGAGTATACGCGTGGCAATGCGAAATAAGATGAAAGCGTCCACGCAGGCGATTCTGAATGAGGAGATAGATTATCAGCGTATAAAATTGAAAGGGCATAACTGGTCGAAAGCACCGCCACAGATAAATCAATCACCGCTGCCCGAGCAACATCCGGCAGAAGCGGACGACAGACAACTCTTAAATTCGATCAGGGACAAATTGAAAGCCAAACAGGAGGAAGAGATGAAAAGTCGCAAGGTGAATCAAGATAAGATGGAGGACGAGGAAGAGGACTTACGTCAAGACATCTATTCGAAGAAATCAGAAGATTTGGAGGCTTGGGGCCCAAAGGAGCCACCTAAGCCTTTCTGGATAAAGAAGGAAGAGGAGAAGCAGTCACAGCCGATCACGACGAATAAACCGATCGAGTTGCCAAAACCGGAAGAGATGCCGAAGCCGCACATGGGATTCTGGACTAAGCAGCAAGTGAACATGACGGTGAAGCCGCCCGAAAATAAATCGGTGGAGAAAGAGGAGGACAGGGACCGCGACAGAGATCGTTACAAGGATGATCGCGATCGCAAGTATAGCAGATACGAGAGAAGAAGCCGGCGCGATAGAGATCGGGATAGGGACAGAGACAGGGATAGGGATAGGGATCGTGATTACTATGACGATCGTCGAAAGAGGGATAGAGACAGGGACAGCAACGATTCTCCAAGGCGTGATAGAAACTGGCGCGACAGCAGCCCCAAGAGAAGCTACGATAAATACAGCAAAGACAGGCGGGGAGATGACAATTCATCGAACGACGAGTCCAAATTCGACAAGAAGTCGAGCGATTCGAAGTCAAAGAAAGGTGCCGCCCCGGGCAAGAAATCCGCGCCGCAAGTGGCGGCCAAGGGCAAGTTACCGTTCATTGGCAGATTACCTCTGTTTAAGAAGAAGGCCGAAGAGCCGAAGTTACCGGAGAAGGAGGTAGCTCCGTTGCCCTACCAGCAAAGCAAGTTTGAGGATACGCCGAAGGTACCTAATGAAATCATCAATCCACCTGGTGTTGCGCACATTACCAAATTAGCTACCCCGCTGAACTTGAATAACAGCAGCAGCACAACTCTACTGGCAAATAAAACTAGCAATCAGCCTATGAAGATTCTAGTGGCACCGCCACCGCCCGTGCTGAATGAGAGCAAGCCGACCCCGCAGGTGGTTGACATGGAGATAGACGATCAGTCCGAAGAAACGGTCATAGAGGAGCAGCTGATAGTGGAACAGCAACAAAAACAGCAGCAGCAGCAGCAGCAAACTTCGACCGTGTCGAAACTACCGTTACCCCCGCATCCACCGCCACCGTTGAGTAGACCACCGCCCAGTTTCACCCCGGGCCCGCAACAGCAAGCCGCAGCGCAGAATAGACCGCCACCGGTACCAACGCCGCACTTTACGCCAAATCGACCACCTCCGCCGTTCATATCGAATCCACCGCCACCATTCGTTCAGGCACCACCGAGATTCCCGCCTCGTCAAGCTGTGCCGCCTGCTCCCTTCATGACGCAGCCACCACCGATAGCGAATCCGAGTTTCGTGCAAAATCAGAATCCGCCGCCGCCGATACCGACAGCAGTAGACTCGGGCGCTGTGGTGCCACCGCATTCCGAGGTGGCAGATATACCGGAACCATCGGAGAAGCGTTCGGCAGACCCGAGCATTCCATTGCCGGATGATCTACAAGAGGCTCTCAACATAATCTTTCCAAAGGAGGAGTCCGCGGAGACCAAGCAGCAGCAACAACAGAACCAACAGGAGTCGAACATCATGTATTCCTCGATGTACAGTATGTTGGGCTGCGTAGGATACGGTCCTGAATACATGGATCAACCACCACCCGAGATTATGCAAGAGGCAGAAGCGGACACACAACCTGGACCCGATGATCTTCGCATGTTGGGCATCGACGAGGGGGATACGATCTTGTAAATCATTCTCGCGATATATCTGTAGGTTTATATCGATGTATGGCGCTCCTGTTAGTGATTCACATGCAGAAAAAATTCTTATGCCACGATAGGAAAGATTAATCTGTTACTGATCCATTTGTCCTTCATTTCGATGACATCTGAAAAGTATTTCACCTCTACCTATTTCTCACGTGTTTTAAAGTTGAATGTGATGGAAAAAAAAGAAAGAAAAAGAAAGAAGCAATTATTATAGATAATCCTGAAATACTGTGAATATAAAGCCAGCGCCATGAATCACGAATCGCGCATAAGTCTGACAGCAGCGATGCGTATGGTCTGTAAAGATTACTTAACGATATACAGTAGAATTTACAAATTGTCCGCTAGATTGTAATGTTTGTTATCTCTCGTTAACACAGTAACTGTCTTCGTTTGGTAAGATATCTTCGTTAATTTTATTTTTTTGGAATTCATGATATATTATTGCACAATCAATATCACATCTGAATATCAGCGACAGCAACGATTGACGTAGGATAAGTTTGGAACTTGTCTATTTCTTAATAAGAGTTATAAAAAGCATTTGTTGAAAATCGATAAATCTGAATGACATTATGGAATGTTATGTTATCGATACCTAAGTCAAAAAGTAAAACGAGATGTGTGTAATATCAATAAAAAAAATGCAACTTTCATATTGTGTATCAACATTGATATTGTATAATGTATATCTTTGATATTGCAAATGTCCGTAACTTTCAAGCTTACGCTGTATATGTACAATACACTCAAATGTAAAAGAAATGTTCACGTCGACTTTTTATATAAGGATAACAGACTTGAACAGTGGAATGTAAAATCGTAATATTGAAAACATTTAACATTGCGACATTTCCCGAGATTAAATAATTCTTTTTCTTTTTTTAAAGGACCACTCTGTCTCTGTTTCTTTTAAGTTTAGTCTTATGATCGATTCCTAAAGATAATATCACATTGCCTCTGCTTTTCAAAGTTAATATATATGATGATTACGAATCTATTGCTGCGAAATTGTGTTGAAACTATCGCTATTGAAATATTGATCACATGGCACTATTTAATTGTTGAATATTCATTTCTACTCAAGTTTTCAGTACTCAGGAAATCTCACGATTTTCGATTTCGTTAATAGTGTTCTTGTAAAAACGCTTAATTCTACCACAGCATCGATTAGCTTACGTAATATAATATCGGAATGAACTTTCGATTAAAATTAGTCTATAAATGCGAGAATAACAATGCAATGTTCGCGAACATTGACAATAGTACCAAATCATTATCGATAATCGTATATTAGGCAAAGCGTCACAATTCGATAAAACGCACCCGAGTGCATAAAAGGATTAAATCGTGCTTTATATAGTTTAGCAATTCGTAATTAGTCCTATGTGCCCAGTCTCTATCTTTCTTGAATTCAAATGGAATGTAAAAACCAATGTAGATTCTCACGTGCTACAAACGTGATTAAAGGCCTACTTTAGGTTTTCTGTTCGTCGTCTACGTGTATGCAGATGAATGAGAGCTATTAATTCGTAATGCGAACACGGCGGTGTAGTAAAACGATCCCGTCGTATCGATGAATCCATTTAGATTTGAAGTACTAGGCCTGCGCTGGAAATGTTGTCCCCGCCGCCTGCAGTCTGACTAGCTTGCGTGCAAACCAACACGGGAGCGACGCACACATGAATAGAAATATCTTCCTGCTCCACCTTCAGTATCTCGTCCCAACAAGATACCGGCTTGTCGATGTTCAATGCTATTCGAGTACCGTCAACGATAGACGTCGAAAAACTGTCGTCCATGATCAGCGTCGCTTTCTTCACATCGACCTGCATGAGACAAAATAATTTTAATATCATCGAACGCGTACGACCTATTGCACGTACACGAAGCATCTTATGTAAATAAGTGCTATATATGTTTATCTTAATAATTTCTAATGTCCCATTCGAAACAAAGTTGCGGATTTGATCATTATAATTTATCAAATATTGGAAACGGTAAAATATTTATGAATCGCTCTTATAAGTTATTCATACATCTGAACGACTTACATTACTCGATGCACATACGTGTCTATGTGCAGTCAGCGATGCTTTAGCCACAGCGGCCATAGTATTCTTCCAAACGGAATCCTTGACGGTGAATATGGCCTGGTACGCCAGCGTGTGCACGTGAATTCTCGTGAGCTCTCTAGAATTTGCGATCGACTTGCCTCTCAGACGTACGAGTTTGAACAACGTTCTCATTTGATCTAACACCGTTGCGACACGCGGAGTCGAGTTGGCCACTAATGAGATATTACCATAATACATGGTATTGTACAGATTCGCTATCTCCTGTTCATTCATTCCCAAACTATCGGCAAAGGGAACCACCAGGTCGCACAGCTCGAAGAGCAATTTATCCTCGGCAAACGAGGCCATCTCGAAATGAATTCTGGTAGAGCTCGAACGTCCCACCATCTGTTTCTTTACGTTCATCAGCAGATTCTTGCGTTTATCTGTAAAATTACATGTGAAGATATTTCATTTAACATATATAATGGATATGTTTGGGTGACAAAAACCGACCTTCTTGAAATGGATAATTGTCCATCATCTGGAGACCGCCGACTACTAACAAATCGGGATCATAAGTCCCCAGGACTTTGTCGAAGGCATTGAATGAGCTAATCATTGGATTATTCACGTCGTTGTGAACGATGTACCTGGAAAAAAGTGCGAAAGTATGCAGTTCCCCATCAGTTTGCATTATTTACTTGATCCATGCATTTACCTTGTTATTACTTTTATACGTTACTTCATTATCATCAGTACCTGTTTGCTCTCGCGCTGGAATAAGGGCCCCACACTTCACCGTGCTTGTATTCCATGATGAGGTGAATATCATCGCGTTTCACCTCGCCGCCTACTATATTTATCACCTGCGGAAACATCTGGTGTAAGGATCTGGTCATTTTAGCCGCGAGAGTCACGTCGCATCCCTCCTGCGCGAATCGCATCGCCATAACTGCTGCATTTCCTCCGATTGTCGAGTAAGACGAGGGAAACGAGCGTGCTTTCGACACCAATTCGTCGAATAAAGTTCTGTTTGCCATGTAGCGTCTGCAGAGAAAAATTTCCGTTACTCTATGTGATAAATATAAGAATTAGAATTGTGTGTGATTATGATATATGACATAAGGATGATTTAGAAGTAACATAATGAACTTCGATGATCATGTAAAGTGTTTTTAAGTAAATAGAAACGTCCTACTTGTCCGAAAAAAAGCTAACTGCAGTTTTAACATATTTACTCAATGAGATGTTCGAACCATTCTCTTTAGCAGAATAATTTTGTCAATCAAATGACATGGTCCAGATCCTCTAATACTAAACATCTTTTTGTAATACATCTCATGCAATTGTCAATCAATCAGAGTTTATCAAATATAATTGACTTACATAGGTATAATTAGTATACCTAAAATAATTAACACATATCCTAATAAAATTACTATATTTAATCGTTAAGCAAAGTGCTTTCTGCTACATGTGGAACGTCCCATGTCAAAACAATGACAGAATTCGGACAAATCTTACTCGGCCGCGGCTCCATGGCGAAAATAATAGGCGAAGCTCTTGAGCAGTTCGAGTTCGGTGTTGATCTCGTCGAAGTGTTCAGGTCGGCCGATCTCATCCGAGTATCTCAGCAAGTGTCTCGCGTCGATGAAGACGTCGGTGCACACGCCATAACCTATGGCGACTTTCGGCCTCCTGGTGATGACGTACTTGCTCTCGAGCCTCTCGAGGCCGTGCAACAGAGCCAGCAGTCGTTTCTGCAGGACGTCGTCGATGTTGCGGTAATAGATCGCCGCCAGGACGATCAGCACGGTGAGAAACGTCCCGAATCCTAACCTCTTTTTGTACCCCATATCGACGCCGCCAGCACAATGGAATCGGCCTCGTGAGAGAAACGTTTCCGAATTCTAACCTCCTTTCGTACCCAACCTCTGAACCTCTCCTCCTCCCACCAACGTTAAACGTTGAACGCGCAAATGCCATACAATTGACCGTGAAATCTGCATACGTGTACAAATTTTAGGGGTCGTTGTTAGCTTGCCGCTTGAAAATTTCCTCCGATCAATCACATCATGTCTAGATATCTGTATATTACGATTGTCAGGATGCACTCAAATTGCACTTCAGAGTTGTATAATGTATATACACAAAAAAGTGTTATTATTAATATAATTATATATTATTATTAGTATTATAAATATTAAAATGTAATATATTGCAATATCTTATATTGGCAATTCATTGAATAGCTAATATGAATCTACAGTAGTGGCAACGCATTGGCATTTCTTTTTTAGTATATGCAGATAATCTCTCTTTATATATAAATATACTTTTTTAGAATATCAAGTGACAATACACCAAAGCTTCGACATTTTCAAGTAATTTATTGAGCAATGAGTATTCATATATGTTATGTGGTAAAATACTATTTGTTTAAAAGTCTTTCTTTTCCACAAATGTCTCTTTAACGCAATGATGGGACGATAAGTTTTATGACTTATTTAGAAAAAGATGACTTATACAATTAATGATTCTGTTATACACATTTGTCTGTCTGCTTTTAAGTACATGCAATATATAAAAAACAGTCTATATATCGTAAAAATTCACTTGTATGTAGCATACATATTGTATGTACATACAATGTACCACATACTTGTATGTAGTATGCCAATGTTTTAATTTCTGATCAAAGATATTTTATATCTACATAAGTATAAAATTTAAAAGCTTATGTCGCTCGAACTGTCAGTATTCTGTAAATCGTACAGAAAAAGAGAAACTATTTTACAGTTTTACACTTGCATATCGCGCGATACACTACACATAAAAAATGTTACTAAAGTACTTAGGTATACTGTACGATGCATAAAAAAATTGCGATAATAATTATATAAATATAATTAAAGCGATATTAAAATATAAGTTACAATATAAATATCTTTCGTAATAACTGGATCAAATTGGAAGCAACGAACTAATAAAAGGGAAAATACTATGTACAATATTCTGTGATTTATCTGCAGCGATGCTCCTCGTTACTCCAATCGTCCAATTATCTCAGATCTCACTATGTATAAGTTTTTGTCAGGAACTTGCATAGAACTAGAACACAATTATATTCATTTCATATTTGATATTAGTATCTGCAAACCCTGGTGGAAAAATGTTTCAGATGTTATTATCAGAATTTCTATAAAAATTTCAAGATTTTCTCTGATTTTTTTTATAAATCTAAAATGTGAGAAATTTTTTCAACAGGAAAAAGTTCATTCAAAAGATACACATTCAGTTCTACGTTAAAAGAATCTGGCATGATCATATCATTCGTGCTGATTGCTACAGTTATGCCCATTTCTACCAATGTAGATTAACTTCTAATCTCGGTTTAACTTACTTTCTATCTTTTTCTAACTTTTAGAACTAGGAAAAGATGATAGGTAAGTTAAACCAAGATCAAAATTAACCTGCGTTAATAGAAATGGACATTAGTAACTTTTTTGTTAGCTCTAGTATTGCGTTCGGGTGTCTCGGACAAGATATTAATTCGCCAAGAGAGTCATATTTCTTTCACTCCTTGTTCTTCATATGGAGGCGCATATGCTTCTTCAGATTGTCAAGCCGATTGCACCGGCGCTCGCAGTAGTCGCACTTGTAGGGCATCAGATTGCTGTGCACGACCACGTGGCCGTTCAGATGACTGATCTGCTTGAAGCGCTTGCCGCAGATGGTGCAGGAATACGGACGCTCGTTCATGTGCGCGGACGAAATATGCGTCTGTAGGTTCGTCTTCCTGACGAACGTTGCCTTGCACACGTCGCACTCGAACGGCCGTACGTTCGCGTGGATCGCCAGATGCGACTTGAGCACGTTCTTGTGCTTGAAGTTCTTCTCGCACAGGTGACACTGGAACGGTCGTTCGTCGTTGTGCACCTTCTTGTGCACCGACAGATGTGCCAATTGCTTGAACATTTTGGCACATATCTCGCACTGATACGTACGACCGTCCTCGTGCGCGGCGCTAACGTGACGGCGCAGAGTGTCCGCCAAGGTGTAACGTTTGCCGCAGATCTTGCAGCAGTACGGACGCTCGTTGGTGTGCGTCAGCAAGTGGCCGTTGAGGTTGCGCTTCTCGAGGAAACGCGCGCCGCACACGTCGCACTGATACGGCTTCTCGCCGTTGTGCACGTACATGTGTTTCTTCAGCGAGTTCGACAAGCTGAAGCGTTTCGAGCAGACTGTGCACTGGAAGCGACGCTCGCCCGTGTGCACCAGCATATGCGACTTGACGTGACCGGCCTGCTTGAACCGCTTGCCGCATACCTTGCAGTCGTACTGGCGTTCCTGCGTGTGCGTGAATATGTGCCGCTCCAGCACGCTCTTCGTCGTGAACACTTTTTTGCAGCAGTCGCACTCGAACAGGCGATAAACGTCGCGTATCTTGGACGACGTCGTCGTCGTCGTCGTCGTTGTCCCGCCTTTGTGCGAGGACGCGTGTTGCTTCAGCGAATCCAGCGAGTCGAACTTTACGTCGCACACCGTGCACTGGAACGAACGGTAGTCGTGATGGGTCAGTGAGTGCTGACTAAGATGGCCTAATTGTTTAAAGCTCTTGTTACACACCTCGCACACGTACGGCCGTTCGTTCGTGTGCGATCGCATGTGTCTCTCCAGCACGCTCGGGAAGCTGAACTTTTGTTTGCAATACGTACATTGTAAAGATTGTACCTTCAACACGCGACTCTCCGCAGGCAGCTTCCGTCTGCCGGTTTGGTTTGAGCTCTTACTGACCTTGCCAGAAAACTCTTTTGTGTCCAGTGACGAATCACAATCTTTGTTCCCGGGATCGGATGTCTCGTGTGTTGTTCGAATCACAGATCTTTCCTTGTTAGGTGTAGCCGTTAACGCATTGGCCTTGTTTCTCGTATTTCTGCTAACCGGTATCTCTCTTTCCTCATCAGCTAATTTATCCTGTCCGTGTGATTGCTTCATATGCTTCGCGTACAATCTCGGAACGCTAAATGTTTTATTGCACAGCTTACAATGGAGAACTTGCTTCGCTTTGTGAGTTCTCATGTGGTTTTTCAAATGCCCTATCTTCATGTACTGCTTTTGACAGTACTTGCATTTGAGGGATTGAGTATCTTCGTTGACCTTCAATTCATTTTTCGCTTTGTCTTCTGTTTCATCCGTAGACATCGAATCCATCGCGCGCGCGTTATTCGCCAGAGATTCATTCTTCACGTTCACGTAACTGAACATATTTACATCGTCGGCTTTCGAAAGTGCGTTTTGATTCCGTGTATCTCGTACATTTTCGTTTTCTTCGTACTGCTGAAACATTCGAAATAGAATAATTTCGATCATCATGTTAAATTTATAATACTGAGATATATACATTGTACATTATATTGCATTTATTACATTAATACTGTTTGATGTATTCTGCGTGTCTCCCGTCATTGCAGCCCCATCTCCGTCCTTCTTATTCGACAAATGTTTGAGCCATTCCTCTTCCGTCCTCAGACCCTCCACATCTTTTTCTATACCTTGAAAATTCTCGTGTACGTTTTGCCTGAACAATACGTCGTATGGAACCTTGCCGTTCTGACAGCGATACGTCGAGTTATGAACGATCTGTACGAAGTTCAGCCCTTCGCACCAGGTCCTAGTTGGATTTTTTCTCATCCAGGATTCGAGCGAGGTCTTAAAATCCCCGTAGCTAACTTCACCCTTAGATGCGTCCCCGTGCAATATGAACAAATCATTCCACAGCGAACGTAGTTCACGTACAACTTGTTCGGCAAACTTACGCCCATTGCCGCTCTGCAGCACTCGTGGTGCCCCTATGATCCCCAATACGTCTAACAGATTCACCGCGACTTCTTTGGCTGTATCGCTGCGGAGAGCCTTTAGTACGACAAACTTGGACGAATGATCTTCATAAACGAAAAAATATTTATAATTAAATGTCGGGTCTATTGTCATCTCTATTATGTCAATGCGACCTTTATTATATAATTTCTCTGAAACGTCGGTCAATCTTTTGGGCGACCGATTTAATGAGTCCGTTTGACAGGCCTGAAAACAAATGTATGAAATAGTTTTAATTAAACTTTTAGCATATACAAATACGTTAACTTATACATATACATAATAATAGTATAATAATAGTATAATAATTAATTTTAATTCTTTTATTTTAATTTATTTGCTAACAAAGACAGTAAAGTAAAAAATTGAAACTTACTGTCACCAATACATCCGAATAGCTGTTCTCTTGCTTGATCTCCTTGCCCTTCTCTTTAGATAAGACTTGCAGATGCGCTTTGTTTTGCGCAGATTGCGAGCTCAGGGTGCTTTGAAAAAATTCCGCTTCCTGCTTTATTATCAAGAAGTCCTGATTTCTGTCTCCCGGCAGCAAGTGATCCAAAGAATTGTGCATGTACGCGTTTTGTGGCATCCATTCCACGCTCAACGGCATTTCTTTATTCATTATTATTTTTGTCATGTGTCCCGTCTAACCCTGTTTTCCTTGTTCGTGCTGCTCTCTCTCTCTACCATTCCCTATAATTAATTAACATGGTTTTATTATACAGTTATTAAACAAACTAGTTTTGTTACGGAAACTGGCGTCTTCGTCAAAGTTTCTTCTTTATCGCGAAAAATAGACAACTGACAGAATCTGGGCACTAATTTGCCTGACAATGATTATTTTCATTGTGACTTATAAGGATTAATTTAAACGCTTTTACTCTTGTGCACTATTTATATATACTTCTTGCACGTAAAAAATCAAGCCGGCACAATGGAACGTGCAATCGTTTCTCGATTGAACAATTAACCTACAATCCATACAAATTCAACGTGCATCAATTCCCAGTTGCTGCATTTGTTTGAAAAAAAGTAATCAATTGTATCTGTGTACCATATTAGAACGTCCCACATCCTCTCACGCATTTTCCCGCTTCGCTTTGATAAATAAATAAGTCCAATTCCGTTCGTAACCGAGATATGTCAACTTCTCAGCGTTTCTCGGCACACTGAAAAATGTACTGTCGAATCTGTCGATGTCAAGGCAAATTTCCATGGATATTCCGCGACGAAAGTCGGAAAAACCGCTGTCGGTTATCAGAAATTCACGAAATCGACGAAAGGACGGGGAAAAAATCAAATTTCCAAAAATTCGAAGTTACAGATTCGTAAAGTCAACAAAAAACACAAAAGCTCCATTTATATCGTGCATGTGGAGAAATATTTAGGTATGACGCATGCTCCGATTATACCAATTGATGTGACTGTGTTGACATTCGTGTTATAATGCACACCTTGCTGACCTTACCTTATCTTGCCCTTACTCTCAATAGTTCTTATCATACACGAGTGAATATAAATTTTTAGTAAAAAATAGAGCTCAAGTAGTATTTTGTTTCAATAGGAACGGAAATTCACAACGGAAGAAAAAAAGAGAAGATTTAAATTGCGTGGAATCTCGGACACAGCAATTCATCGTCGAGCAAACCTGGATTCTGAATCATCTCTTTTCGTTGTTCGTCAAAATGACTCAAAACTTGGATGACGCGCGACTTGCTGCTCGTAGAGCAGTGCAATTTGACAGTAATGGTCGATATGAGCAAGCCCTGTATTATTATGATATCGCTATTAAACTTCTTACTATATTGCAATCGGATGGTATGTACGAAGATAAGCTTGCGGAGTATCGTGAGAGGATTTCATCGATTCAACGTCTTGGTAAGCTTGCACTACAAAATTTTCCATAAACATAATTTGTTACAAAATAAGTGATGCTTTTAACAGTCTCATTTCTGAAACTTTTAGTTCGCGAGGAGGAACAGAGTCATAATCCAGAACCTTCACACCAATCCGAATTACAGAGATGTAAATTTCTCATGAATCAAGCGTTAGATGCGGATGAAGCAGGTTTGAAGGATATTGCAGTAAAATTGTATACAGATGCTGCTGAACTTGGCCTTAGCACAGTAAGTGTGTACAATTCCTTCTGCTAATAAAACGTGCTATTACGTACCTTTAAAATTCTTTTTATTTAATCTATATGATATATTACAGAAAACGGCTGACCCAGAAGTAAAAGCGAAATTAACAAATCTTGTTAGAGTCGCTGTTGAACGGGCAGAGACTTTGAAGGGAATTAAAAAACCTACCGATGATAATAGTGTCATGAGAAGTCTTGCTCAACTACCATCCGTACCGGAAAGCAGTTTTCCAGATGCTGACCAGCCAATACAGTCAGAACAGCCAGTAAATGCGTCGTCAACTAGACCAGGTAGTAAATATATTTTTAAAGGCAAAAGTTAAAACGCTGTAACATATTTATTGAATAAATTTCAGCAAGGGATACCAGATCCTCACTTCATCGTGGAAACAGTGCGCATCTTAAAGTAACTGGTGGTAGCACCAATTATACTGAAGAAGAAAAACGAGTACTGCTTTACGGCTCTCACATAAATGATAACGAATTTGTACCATTTATGAGTATCGATCTTGCTGAAAAATTTCAATATGCCATCCCATTTACTGATAAAGACGGATTATTAGAGCTAGCACCAAAGCAAAAGCCCGATTTCGCTGGATGGCGCCGACCAGAAGAATTATTTTCTGATCCCAAAATGGTCATTGGCCATCATGTTGACTACTTCAGCATAAAACAGACTGTTAGTAAGACATATTAATGTAACAGATATTAAAAACATCGATTCTCAAATTATTACTTGTCAAACTTCAACACATTTGAGTAATGTCTAATAATTTTTTTGTATTTTAGGTAGTTTCCGATTGTTCGTTTGTTGCTTCCCTGGCTGTGAGTGCGCAATATGAGAAAAAGTTTGGACGGAGACTCATAACATCCATTATTTATCCTAAAAATAAATCCAAGGAACCCATATACAATCCATTTGGTAATTGTTTAGTTTAATTTAACTGGCATACTCATAAGTATTACTAATTATATACACTCTATATAATACACTCAGAAGGTTTACATTAAGCTACATTTTGTAAGAGCACTTTATCTGATGCTTGTATTTTGGTTCGTGGTTTTTTAACAAATACAATTTTAAACATTCACACTTGATGGCTTTCATTAAATTGAAATTATCGAAATATACATTTAAAGAGCACAATCACTCTTCACATAAGAATTCATCATACGCATCGTAAAACATGCGTATACTTAAATATTTATTACATATTAGAAATGATGAACATATAATATCAGGAAAATACATGGTGAAACTACACATCAATGGCATTCCACGTAAAGTAATAATAGATGACCTTCTGCCTGTAAGCCGGTACAACCAATTACTCTGTTCCTACTCTAGCAATCGTGGGGAGCTATGGATTTCTTTACTCGAGAAGGCTTATATGAAAGTAATGGGTGGTTACGATTTTCCTGGATCAAACAGTGTAAGTTTGTGTTTTCTTTTTTATGTATGATTAGTAATATTAAATTACTAATCGTACATAATTTATTATTACCTTAATCTTTTCCATTCTTTTAAATGTAATCAAATTTGTCTTTACAGAATATAGATTTACATGCCTTAACTGGCTGGATACCTGAGAGATCGGCAATAAGACCAAATGAAGTAGATTTTAATAAGGATAGTTTATTTGATGTATTACTATTACGACTTCATAAGGGAGATGTGCTAGTCACTGTAGCCACAGGAGAGTTATCAGATTTGGACGCAGAACGTACTGGCCTTGTACCAAGTCACGCATATGCTGTTCTTGATGTGAGAAAGATTAATGTAAGGAAAGCAAAAGAATTATCCATTTAACATTTGTTTTAAACGTATACTAATAATATAAATATAAGCAAGGTTTTTACTTTTTTTAAACACATTATAAAAATTTTTTATTTATTTAGAGAGAATATGAAGTATTTAACTTAAATTGTATTAATGTACATGCAGGGAGAGAGATTACTGCAATTGAAAAATCCATGGTCTCATTTGCGGTGGAGAGGCAATTATTCTGAACTTGATACAAAACATTGGACTCAGGATTTGAAGGAAACATTGAATTATGATCCAGAATCTGCTTCGGTATTTGATAACGGTGTTTTCTGGATTGATTACGACAGTATATGTCGGTTCTTTGACGTATTTTATTTAAATTGGAATCCAGGATTATTTAATTACACTTATTGTGTACATCAGTATGTAACTCTTATTACATCTGTATTATGTAATTGCTCTTTCTTCTCGTATACTATAGCAGTGATACGTTCAAGGTAATTCCATTTTATTACAGAATGTGGAAAGCTGGCATTGGACCTGTGAGAGATGCATACAATATTGGTGACAATCCACAATTCTCATTAGAAGTACAGAGTAAAGGCTCTGGTGCTATTTGGATACTTCTTACAAGGCATATTACAGACATAGCAGATTTCCGACAAAATCAAGAATATATCACAGTTTTAATTTATCGTAATGATGGAAAAAGAGTATACTATCCACGTAAGTGTTATAATTAATTTTTTTTATTCAATGTTCGTCTTCAGTTACCAACAAATATATCATAAAAACCTGTTTAGACGATCCACCACCGTATATCGACGGTGTGAGAATAAATAGCCCACATTACTTGTGTAAAATCAAACTCGGTGATCAGAGTGACGCAAAATATACTTTGGTCGTATCTCAATATGAGAAAACAAATACTATCTATTACACGCTCCGTGCATATGGAACATGTCCGTTTATATTACGGAAAATACCTCAACTTTATAAATATGAAAAAGAGGTATATACTATTTATATAAACGCTTTTCCAGATTTTTTCTAAATTATATTTCTAGATTGTCCTATTCTTAGATTAATTTATATATTAACGTGATTTATCATAGGTCACAGGTCAATGGAAGAACGTCACAGCAGGAGGATGTGGCAATCATCCCACTTATATGAATAATCCACGATATCAAATAGTGCTTGAAAGCGCTAGCAATAATAATTATTTATTAATTATTTTGAAAGGACCTAAACAGTATCAAATTGGCTTTGACATTAACACCGTTGTACTAAACGATGCAAATGCAGCAACTGCTTTTAAAACAAAAAATTCTGGACCATTTAGGTCTGTATTTTATCTGGATTGTTTCGCATTCTTTTTATATAATTTTTTATTTACTATTTACTTTTATTTCTGTTTACAGATCCGGATTTGTATATTTGGAACTGGAAGACGTACCCGCAGGAACGTACCATATTATTCCATCTACATACGTACCTGGTCAAGAGGGACCATTCTTTTTAATTTGTAAATCTTCTTGTAACTTGCAGCTACAACTTCTTTAACAAATTAAATAAATTGTTGAACTATAAGTACATAATTTTTAAGCTGCATGTATGTACATACATATAGCTGTATCATATGCGCGTACGTCGGTTTGTTGACGTTTATTTCATCTAGAACCTTTTTTTTTTTAAATCGATCTTATTCGTAATTTGTCTTTAATAAAAGTTTAATTAGGCGTTAGTGATTTTTGTCATGATTATTGTTCAATTAAAAAATTCAAATTAAAATATTTTCTTAAAGTCCGGATCTCTCGATCTGTCACCAAAAAAATAATTTTTTCTCGTCGCCGGGCCGAAAGTGACAACTTTCATCCCGCTACGCGGGATGAAGTTGTCGCGTTTCGGCTCCGTCGAGGAGAAAAATCGTATACACACCACGGGCAGTAAATAAGGAAGCCTCAGATCACATGTTTGTCGACCTCGGCTCCGCCTCGGACGACAATTACATGTGATCTGAGACCTTCCTTATTTTACTGCCCTAGGTGTGTAATATACTATTCTTAAACTAGTCAGCAATCATTAAGTGATAACTATAGCATTATCTGTATCGATATGTACTTAACCATTTATAATCAAATACAAATAATTATAAAAAAGAAAGTGGGGAAAAAGTAATTTACAGAGGACTATCTCACATAGTTTTATTTTATATTTCAAAAGTATATATGAACGAGACTAGACATCTATAAATTTTATTACCATCAAGATTTATGACTTACTATATTAATGGTTGTTTATATGTTAATTTGTAATATTTGAAAGTAAAATTTTACAACACAAGCAACACATAAATCAAATATTTCACTTCGTATTTAACATGACGGGGAGAACGTATTTAACTGTTCGGGGAGAATATATACAAGGCACTACAGTCTAAAATTTTGACTGATCATGGTATGTAAATGGTATCTAAAATAAATTGACAAAGTATTTTTATTACTTATTTCTATATATAATCGACATGCACAATATATCGAATAAATTTTGGAAAAATATTTTAATGCAATATATTGCAAAGTGTAAAGACATTGATGTAATAACATATATTTAATTAAAATATTTTCATTTGCATATAGAGACAAAAAAAATATTTGGAGAATTGCATATCGTGTTTACACAGACAATTATCTTAAGTTAAATAATAAGTGGACCTGTGACACATAACTCTTAATATACATCTGTAAATAGTATAAATATTAAAACCATTACATATTGCTTTTATCGTCTTTAAGGTATTCGAAATTTTTTCTCCACGCATGCACATCCTTTGCACCTTTTTATGGCATCAACTTGTTTTATCTTAATATATTGATAATTAATTGGTTTATATTGTTTGTGTGTGTTTGATTTATACATATACAAAATGTTAATTTTTGTATACAGTATATAATAAAATATAGATAGTGAAAATATATTATAGGACGAACATAAAACAAAGAGGGAAAGGTGATTTACACACATATACATACATGATAATTTTGTTTTCTAATATGTACATATTTTATGATATACGTATATATATTAATGGCGTTTCTTAATTTTTTCTTCACATATTAAAATAATTCTCAGCAATTTTGATTAGTTTTGCCAAATTAGATTTATCATATATATCGAATATATTGACATAAAGATAAACGTTTCACTTTTCCGTTCTTTCATGCACTGTAAAAAGAATATTAGTCAATTGTTGATGGGAAGTTTCGCAAAAGAGAAAGAACAAGCGAATGTAATAGAAAGAAAAAGTTATTGTATTTGTTCATGTAATTTAAAGACAAACTTCTATCCTTTTGACCACGCATGAAAGATTATAGACTATTGTTCTAATAATGTTTATTGTAATACGAGTTTGTATTAATACAAAAATAGATTATAAAATGCTGATGTTAATACATACGATGAAGTATTACATTATTAAAGAGTCCAGTAAATATATTGAAAAGAGCTCGCGAGATTCGTAAAATTAACTAGAAAATTGAAAGCTTCATACAAAGAGATATGTATGTTAGTATATCCATCTGATTTACACTGTGTAAAAAATAAATAATGTATAAAATCGCATATCTATTAGATAATACAGTGTCCCACATTTATAATAAACATTTAATAATAAGAAAAGAATTATAATCATGTAATTTGAATAGTACCTATCTAGAGAAACCAGTTACATATAGATCTATATTGATTTTGATCAATGCATATTTTTCAAAGAATGTAAAACGTTCTTAGTTAAAAAGTGAGATTTTTAAAGTATTTAAATTGTTTGACTGCTTAATATCATATAATAAAAAGAAGCTGCAATAACTTTCACGCTTTTACATAACTTTTTGATTCATTTCGGATACAACCATGTTTTTTATGTATACAAGATAGCTGTAGTTTGTCTGCAAGCTGCCAATATTGAAGATTGTACTTCGCCCTGTGCCTTTAAATAGCTTCTGTATGATTATTTCTTTATGTAGAATGGATAAAATTTCGCAATTACAAAAATCGTAAAATTTTTATCGCGTCAATTGTTAATGATAGCTTCTATGACGAATTTGGAGTCGATTGATGCATGACAAATATTATACGAGAACATCGGTTGTTGCGTCTTTTCATTTTTGATTTCTTCATAATTGTCTATCTATTTTTTTGTTGTAGAGAACTTTTGTTACAGAGAAATTATCTCCAAATTCATCCAAATCCATTGACAGTTGACGTGATAGCTAAATATCTAGTATTTAAATTTATTTAATTTGTGTATATTTTGTTTACATCGCGTGCAATACTTCTTTTATTTATGTCATTGTATCTAAACTTTTTATCCATTATTTTCATAATTGTACTTCAAATTTGTAATGTAAATATATTAATTTATACATTAATATTATTTTGTTGATCTCATGATTTTTCAATATATCTAATAATGAAAATTCAAAGTTTTTAATCAAATTTTCACAAAAAAAGATATTAATTTTAAATCATCTAAATAAGTTAATGTTAACTGGTTAACATATATGCAGATATTTGCATTATATATGATAGCAGTTTTTAATTAATAGCAACTTCCACTTAATACACTGAAATTGAATTAATTAATTAAAATAAATTTAAAATATTTCTATAAGATACAATATCGAAGAGGACAAAATATAAGGCAATATACGCAGATATATATAAATATATATTAATTTTTAAATTAATTATATATACGATCCATTTTAATCTACGATTAAACTTTCGTAGATATATGTTATATCTTACAATTTTTGTTATATATATATAATTAAATCTATTTTTATATTACAAATTTAGTAATAATATATCATATTACATATCATTCTTTTAAGGCTTTCTAAATACGCGTCTCATAGAAATATTTTAAATTATTATAAAGCATTAATACTCGCGACAAAAAAATATGATCACATTTTGTACAAAACAATGTTTTGCATAAAGAAATAAAATAAATCACTAAAATACTAAATAGATTTTCTGTGCATAATAAAATTAAAGAGAAATGAAAATTTTACAATAGTGTATGAAAACTGGACGTCAGTTATGTATAAATGAGAGATATACTTTACGCAGAGTAAACATCTCTGCTTTTTTTTTACTAGGATATGGTATATTAAATATATTATATTATACGTTATTGTCAAAGTATAAAACTACTTTCTAATGGCATGATCCTTGATGCAAGATGTGAGAAAAGAAATGGTATAATTACAAAATGCTGCCCATCTTGAATTTTTATTTTTATCTACTAAACTCGGGAAGTGGCTTGGCTATCCCTTCGCTATAGGCTTTATGGACTGCTTCACACACAAATCTATATTGACTCTGAAAAAAATATTTCATTCAAATAAACACAGCGATATTTTATATTATCTAAACAGATATGAATTGGTAACAATAAATAAGACTTACAGCATTCTGTATCATCATTGCTCTCTGATCTCTCATAGAGCGTACAATATCTAATGGATACACTGGTTGATTAGCTTCAATTAAACACAATGCAGTTTCCATTAAAACTAATACACCGGTTCGACCTATTCCAGCAGAACAATGCACAACCGCTGGTTCGACTATTCCAGTACGAGCTGCTCTTACGCGTTCTGTAAACGTAGTAAATTGTCGCCAATCACTAGGCACTCCGTGATCGGGCCAGCTGCAATACTGCATATGTGTTATATCTCTTTCCTCTCCAGTCTGTAAAGAGATATGTATATATGTATATAGATACCACGTGAAAATGCGCACATTATTATATTAGCCGATATTAAACCTTATATGTACTAAGGAATACAATAAATTGTGACAATATAAAGCCTTACTCACATTAACATCGCGAAGTATGAATTCTCTAAAAATAAATGTATCCTCGACATTTTCTGCGGTCGATGTAAGCGTGAGATTCCTTAACGTGAGAGTCTCATTATATCCCGGCCAGTATTGGTGGCATTTCGCACGACCACGTTCAACTAGCGTTGTGAGCATAACGACAAGTGTACTACCCGCTTCTAAAACCATTTGCCAAAAATCGGCAACGGTGGAAGACAAGGGACCCTGCGTAGCAATATACCTATTAATAATGCCTGAACCAGGTATTTCCATGTTTACATAATTGGCATTGATGTAATCTCCATTCGCAGATCCCATCAAGATTACTCGAGTAACGTCATCTATAAAAAAAAAAAAAATACACATGTACAAATTATTTCAATAGCTACTTTATTTCAGATAAATGAATATCTTTAATAATTTATTAATATAATTAATTCTTTTTGTTATAGAGTAAACTAACTTACACGGTGAAATATCCCGATAGCGATTTTTTGATTGATTTTCTGGCTTTTTCGATTCAAGTGACGTAAGTTCCGGATTTTTTCTATATAACTGCTCATATTGCGCGATAAGAGCACCGCTTGCTAGACCGTCCGCAAGCAGTAACATAGATTGGGCCAGTGCGTCAGATCCAATAGCTGCATGAGGCGCATCAGGTACATACCTTGCAA